AAGAAAGAGAGATTAAGCAAAGAATTGAAGAAAGGTTCGCACTAATGACAAACAACAAAAAACAGATGCTAAACAAACTACTTGACCAACCATGTAATAAAATAGTTATAGATAGAGTTCTAGTACAGAGCAAAGATAAATTTGAGAACCAAGAATTAGTTACGGAAAGTAATAAGATTAAAAGAGAGGTAATAAGACACTTTAAAGGACAATTCAGAAAAAGAAAGTAGCAGTTTGATCAAATAGATCAAGACTGGGCTAGAATTTACGAAGAACAGAAAGAGGTCAAAGAAGAGTGGTATACAGAGGTTATGAAGGATATAACACTAGACGAATGGGTATAAGTTACAAGCATGCTTAAAGAAGACACTGCTCCAAGAATATCAGAAATTAGATACAGACTTTTGAAGAAAGTAAGCTCAAAAACGACAAAACATTTTATAGCTTTTGCAAATAGAATAATAGGTGAAGGATACTTTCCCAAAAAATGGAAATTAGGACAAATCTATTTAATTCCAAAAAGCTTGAACTGGGAATTTAACCTCGCTAGCACCTGACCCATAATGCTACTAGAAACATTCAGAAAACTAGTAGTAAGAATCATTCAAAAAAGGCTAAGTATGGTATTCATTGAAAAACAGATATTAAAAAGAGCAAATTTCGTAGGACTTCCTAATGAAAGCACGATAGCACCAATACATGTACTAAATAATGTTATCGAAGATGCAATACAAAAAGAAAAAGAGATCTGAATAGCATTTCAGGATATGCGAAAAGCCTTCAATTCAGTTAGCATGCATGTGTTAAAGTTAGCTATGGAAAGAATTAGAATGCTCAAGAGTCTGATTAACTTTATTAAGCAGTTATATTAGGACTATGAAATAAAAATAATAACAGAAGAAGGGCCAACAGAATTTTTTATAGCTGGTGATGGAATAGACCAGGGAGAAGTAATCTCACTATTAATATGAAGAATCTTCTATGATCCATTATTAGTAAGAATACAGCAGTTAAAGATTAGATATCAAATGAAGATCCAATGGCCAACAGATGTTGAAAGAAATAAGTTTAAAACTGAAAGAGTTATGGTATCCGCATTAGCCTATGCAGACGATACAACATAGTTAATCATTTGTTAAATGAAATACAATTATTGTGTTTAGTAACAGATAGTTAGTCAAATCTTCGTAAAGATTTTATGATTAATTATATGATTACAACCTCTAAACCTGTTTTTTTACAAATCTGTATATACTAAAGAACAACAAAATTCTGTATAAAATATTGCAGAAGGAATAGATGAGGTAATGAAAGAACTTGGTATTAACAAGTTTGTAGCAGTTATTACAGATAATGTACCAAACATGAAAGCTACTTGGTGTATTCTTAAAAACCAATATTCATCAAAAATATTTTTAGAATATTGGGTATACAGGATTAACCTTTGAATCAAAGATATTTTAAAATTAAACTGGCCAAAAGGTATATTAGAAACTAGTAAAAAAATAGTTAATTATTTTAGAAATCATAGTATACCATTAGCAGCACTTCGTCATCTTCAAATAGAAAAATATAGTCATATAATCTCTTTAATTCAAATAGTAGATACACATTGGGGATCTGCATTTTATTGTATGAATCATTTACTACAATCAAAAAATGTGATTCGTTTATTATTAATTGAAGAAAGTATTAAGATTAGTTCTAGTATTAAAATTCATTTAATGAATGATCTTTTTTAGAAAAATCTTAAATATCTTTGTGATTTTTTAGAACCTGTCTTTACCTTTTGTTAATTCTTCTTGTCTTTGGTTTACACTTTCTTCTGCCTCTATTCTTCTTTCAAGTTT